GGGTCCCCCTAAATCATAATTCATCTGTTGCATGGTTTAGGGCGTAGGGCTTTATCATAGCTTTGAAAAGGGGTCACTACCGGTCGATGATGGGTTTCGAGCTTAGGGCTTCTCTGAAGGCTCCTGAGGCTGAAGGTGTGGAGCTTTCTCTGGGGCTGTACACACCATACCCTAAACCCTAAACCCAAAACCCTAAACCCTAAACCCTAACCCTAAACCGTAGAAACAATAAACCCCGAAACTAAATCCTGCAAAGAGACCCTGAACTGATTCCTATGTGGCCACTATCCCTAAGGTATGCAAGACCGACACAAGGCATTACTAATTTCTTCCGGCTTCTGTTTTAAACCATATGGGGAGTTCTCTAAACTAGGGTCCCTTTTAGGATCTTGTTTAGAAAAGGTGCCGTACTATCTTTGGGACCCAAAACGGGACCCTAGTTTCGAGAACTACCCACATCAAACCCCACTTCTTTTCGCTCCACTGGGCTTCTCACCCGCTAGCTTCTCGGTGAGGCAGAAGCAGCCAAGCTGGCCTTTGGCCTCGGCAAAAGGGGGGGTGGGACTTTTGTGGTTAGCATCTGACCTAAGGCCTTTTTTTGTGTTGGGGGGGTTCTTCTGAGGGTTTAGAAGGGTTCTATGTGGTGGTCGTCATGAAGTCTTTGCAAGTATTCTGCGGGTGTCTTACCGGATTTAGGCTGGTCGCCGTGCAAACTTCGCTGCAAGGGTGCGGGGCAGGAGGCAAGCCTGGGAATTGTTCGGGTTTAGGGCTTTGGGGTGCTATGTTGGATTACATTATGGGTTTAGGGTTTAGGTTTAGGGTTTGGAGGCGCTGAGAATGAGAGGATTACACTGAGACGTCCCTGGAATCTGTGTGCACTAGCTCAACTGAGCGTTTATCAGTCCGCGGTTCCACCAGGCCAGGGTATCCGGCACCCTTAGTGAAGCCTTAGTCTAGCAGAGGATCATAAATAGCCGTCAGTATACCTCGGGATTAAGTTGTCCTGAAACCGCATGACAGTGCACGATACGGCCCAGAACCCTAGAAAACTGTACAGGAGACTGAATCATTGGAGTGGACATTCCGTTGTAGCGTCCACAGAATTAGTCACTGCTTTTTGGTAGCTCTGATCACTTTCCACAAAGACCCCTCGGCTAGCTTTTATTTAGCTTTCCCGTAGCTTTTTGTTAAATCTCACATGTAGCTTTGTGTCCAGAGCACGGTCGTCTTAAAATTAGTGTCCAACATACCCCGAAATCCCACTGAAATCAGCTAGACAACCGTTTATACGTCATCCGTCATAACTTCTGCCTTTCGCTCTCTGCCCGCCCCGCCGGTGGGCCTGCATGTCTTTGAGTGCGGCCACCTGCCGCGAGCAGCGTGTTGCGTTTCATAAGCGGTTGAGGGCTTAAGGGCTACAAGGCTTTATGTATGCTTGATACGGTAATGTTACATGATCTTGTTAGGGACTTACACGAAAGTCTTGTAGCATCTTCTGACTGCTGTTCCGACAATCGCACTGAACAGCAAGCACCACCACAATTAGAGAAAGGTGGTCCAGTCTTCTACTTATTCCAGCACTACACTGATAGTGGTAATGATGGCTCATCACGATTTCGGTAGGATCAGCCAGTAGGCACAACAGCACCGACCACAAGCCGCAGCAATGAGAAAAGTGATACTTAGCAAAAACTCATCTGGTCTGGCGATCCCTGCGCTTGGGGATAGGCCCTAAACTCCAGACCCTAAACGGCCTCCGAATTGCCAGGAATTGAAGTTGCAGCACCATGCGTGTCTCTTCGGAGCTTTGATCTCAAGGCCCCGGCGAGGGTCGCATAAAGTCGTGCCTTGCTTTAAAAGCTTGACGATGACGACGACACCGATGACGAAGACGGTGACGATGACGACGATGATGACGATGATGATAATATGATAATGGTCCTATTGTTAATCGTTTAATTATTGCTCGTAATATTCCAACAGCATTATGACTACGGTTTTCTGAACCCTGCGATTGTAAGAGGTTACACGGAATACTATTCCCCTTCCTGATCCTCGCTGACGCAGGGGATACTGTTATTCCCTAAATTGCAGGAGGGACAGTCGGGCTTGCGAGAGTTTTTAGAGGGTTTAACCCTCGGCCCTAACCCCTGAAACCCTAAACGTAAAAAGCCCTGCACCCTAAACAGCCCAAGAGCACTGAACCCGAGCCTCTGAACCCTTGCAGGCAGGAAACCCTGAATCAAGATAAAATCCTGGTTGTAATTGGGAAGCAAACCCAATTCCAGCTCTTGAGGCCAACCCTGAATCCTAAACCCTAAAAAGGCCCTACACAACCCTAAACCCTAAACTCCAAATACAAGGCGCGTCGACGACTCCAGCACATCCCGAAGAAACGAAAAACCCTACAGGCCTGGAAACCCCAACGCCCCTGAAAATCGATTTGAGTGTCGGAGGCAACCTTGAACCCAAACCAGCTATGAATCCTAAATCTCATATCTTAAGCCCCAAAAACCCAAAAAAACCCAAACTCAAAGATCCTATGAATCCTAAACCTCACACCTTAACTTAAGCCTTAAGTCCAACCAAAACCTTAAAAAAACTAAAAGCCCGATGTTTTAGCGTCGGCGGCCGGCGCCTGCTGCGCATTGCCAAGCGCCAAGATGGTCCCAGCAAAGAGGTTGAACTGGACCTCGGTCGCGAGGGCTCAAACGGTTTAGGGTTTAGGGTTTAGGGCTCAAATGGCTTGGGGTTTAGGGTTTAGGTGTAATGTAGGGGCCTCAATGGGGCATATTGTGCAATGCCTAGAATAAGGCAATTGTTAAAGCCGCTGGGGCTTTAAGGGCTTAGGGTCTCGGGTTAGGGTTTAGGGTGTAGGGCAACACGGGTTCGTGGGGGAGAAGTTTCGAGCTAAAAGACTGAAAATTTTTGTGTTTTGAGATTTGGGTGGTTATAAACAACTGAAAGCCCAGAACAACTTGTAAACTGGACGAGGTCATGTCCAAATGTTTCCAATTTGGTGTGGCTTATTTCAATTTCAATGTTCTACAATAAAAATCAAGCCTAAGACGCCGCCGAAACAAAATTGATTCTCGAACCCTCTCTTTTGCGTTTCCACGTACCGCCGACAAAAGTGTTTCTGGAGCTTTTGGTTTTGGTTTTTCTGTGCTGCAACTCGAAGATGGGTACAGAGCGATAACACGGCCATAAATTTGGAAGGCGGGTATGCTATACCTCAATACCTGATTCTAGTTACTAAGGCCCCGTGTCACAGAACTCTTAAAATACCACTTTTTTGCGAGCTTTATAGACCCTCCCCTAAGAACCCTTAAAAGGACCCCGATTCAGTTTAATAAGACCTCTCTATTGCACCCTTCTAAACAAGATCTGAACACCCTCATTTAAAAAAATACACAAAGTCCTTATAAGCCCCACTAGAACCACTCTAGCCCTAAACCCTAAACCTTAAACCTTAAACCCTAAACCCTTTGCCCTAGCTCTGAAGGCCCCTAAACCCTAAACCTTAAACCCTAAACCTTAAACCCTAGCTCTGAAGGTCCCTAAAGCTTAAACCCTAAACCCTAAACCCCAGCTCTGAAGGCCCCAAACCCTGAACCTTAAACCTTAAACCTTAAGCCC